AATGTTGCTCTTTCGGACAAGCCTGCGTGTCTCAGCTGTGGTTATTCTCTTAGCTTCATGGGATTTAGCCCCTTCTTGACAGCAGCTCTCCATCTGGCTCTGTCCTGGGCTGTCTGCACCCATTGAGATTGTAACGCCTAACTCTGACACTAAGTACTTGAATTATGTGACCACTAGTTTTCAAAATAAAATACAATTTGAGAATGTGTATTGCATCACTACGGTAATTTACATCAAAGGGAATGTTTTCATAAGTATGCGATGCTTTTGAAATATATTCTTCACTGATTGCTTGTGTGACCTTGCACACACCGATCACGAAGCGAATAAAAAAACAACTAAATAATCATCAAAAAAATTCGTATTTTTATTTACACAAACAAGCTTGATCACTTAAACATTTCTTTTAAAAATAAATTATCTACTGGATTTTTCGAGACTTTCCTAAATTTCGCAAATCTGTGAAAGCATCGCGAATGAAAAAAAATAAATGTTCAAATAAAATTTCGCTAATCGGTGAATTTGGAGAATTTCGAACTGCGATTACCCTTGAAATTACTGAAGTGCGGTTCATTATTTAAATTTTAATGAAAATAATTTGTAACCAATTTCTTGAAACTAAAAATATCGAGATTTTTCCATTATCTTTAGAGACACACTTTAAGCCATACGACAATGTGTGGTTACATATATGACGAAAACAATCTGTTCATTTTTTAAAAAATCGTTTGTATATATTCCGTGAAAAATAGATTTAAAATACAAAAATAAAGAGAATGCACATACAAAAACAACATTTTACAAAATCATTTTGTTGGTAAATGTTTTATAAAGATATCATCATCTCAAAATTCGATGATATTACAGATATTTAAAATACTTAAAATTTAGATTTTAAAAAAAAATTTTTTTTTGTAAGGTGCTTTTCTTTGTAGCCATCTTTCAATGTGTTCACTACGAATGACCAGGTAGCACAGGATGCCCAAGTGGATACATGGGTCCAAAATGTGAGCAGCTGTGTCACTGCAATGGTGGTGCGTGCGATCAAAATGGCGAATGCAATGTTGGTGTGAAATGTAAGCCCGGATGGTTTGGATTGGCTTGTCAGTACCGTAAGTTTTGTCAAATGTATTTATCAAAAAAAGATTATATGACTTCACTGTTTAGCTTAAATATTGAGAAAAAAAATGATGCTTGCTTTAAAAGAAAATTGTAATACATTTTATTCATTTTGCGTTTTAAATATCTTTTTTCTTCCTCATTTAAAATATATTATTAGAATGTATTTTACTCATAACATGATTGAAATTTTATATGTGTTTAGGTGATGCTGCTTTCCATTCCCGTGTTCACAATCCACTTCTAACTGATGATGACGACAGCACCTGCTTTGCTCAGCCCAACAGATCTGTGACACTTTCACTAGATCGTCCAATATTATTCACGTGGGCCAGGCTTTTGTTTCACGAGTCAGGTATTTGGGCATTTCGCTTTCAATAGTATTGCGGCTGTTTATGGTGTAACGCGAAACGAAGGACTTGCAGGTCAATGTAAATGTATACGCTTTGCTGAGCATATTATAAGTTCACATAAGCAACTGATCAGGCCACAGCAGAACGATAATCAGACCACAGAAGCAGATTAAAAGACCATATCAACAGATTATCAGAAGTCAGTAACAGATTATAAGAAAAATTTAATCAGATTATCAGGACAAATTAGCAGGTTATCTGAACGTCGAAATAAATTATCAGACCCCAATATACAGATTATCAGACCACTGCAACAGGTTATCAGACCACTGCAACAGATTATCAGACCATTGCGTCAGATTGTCAGACCACTGTATCAGGTTTAGACCACTGTATCAGATTATCAGACCACTGTATCAGATTATCAGACCACTGTATCAGATTATCAGACCACTGTATCAGATTAACAGACCCCTGTTTCAGATTATCAGACCACATGATCAGACCACTGTATCCGATTATCAGACCACTTTATCAGATTATCAGACCACTGTATCTGATTATCAGACCACTGTATCTGATTATCAGACCACTGTATCTGATTATCAGACCACTGTATCAGATTATCAGACCACTGTATCCGATTATCAGACCACTGTATCAGATTATCAGACCACTGTATCCGATTATCAGACCACTGTATCCGATTATCAGACCACTGTATCAGATTATCAGACCACTGTATCCGATTATCAGACCACTGTATCCGATTATCAATCAGCAGCCACACGAATATTAGACAACAACTGATGATTTTTTCACACCAAAATAGAATATTTGCAGAATAAATATCTGATTATAGGACAAATGCAGCAGACTATCAGACTGTAGTTGTCAAGATTGACAGTTGTCAGGTTTCAAACGAAACGGAACATTAGGTATTCCAAGAAACTTTTTGAGAAAAAGTATGAATATAAACCCTAAAAACATCTTTCGTATCAATCCTTTATATAAATGGGTTTTCATTGATGCACTTATACGCGATTTATTATCCATGATATTGTACTGTTTTTTGGTATGGACATTTTTTCATCAAACTTAATGCCTGTAAAACCTACATACGAAATACATATTTAAAAGAAACATTTCTTGTTTTATTGAAAATAAGGACCATTTTTTTTTTTATATTCAGCATTTTTTATTCAATTAGTAGTGAGATAACAACGAAGTGTGAAGGACGGTAGGAGTGGTTAGCGAAAGGAAGGGGTGGCCCAGGAATCTACCGACAAATAAAAATACACCAAAATCACCTTTATTGAAAAAGAAAAACGCAAGATAAAATAACACCAAAATTCGAAAAAAAACAACAACAAAAAAAGGACAACGTCAGTTTCGGGATGGGGGGGGGGGGCTTGGGGGTGGTTGGGTTTTCCTGATTTTTGGGGGGTTGATGGTTGTATTGGGTTTTCAAATCCAGGAATCTACCGACAAATAAAAATACAACAAAAACACCTTTATTGAAAAAGAAAAACGCAAGATAAAATAACACCAAAATTCGAAAAAAAACAACAACAAAAAAAGGACAACGTCAGTTTCGGGATGGGGGGGGGGGGCTTGGAGGTTGTTGGGTTTTCCTGATTTTTGGTGGGTTGATTGTTGTATTGAGTTTTCAAAATAATTGATTGTCATTGGCATCGGGTCCCCATGCCAATGTTTAGCTCTATAGAAGGACTGGCAGTGGGTCAATATGCCTTCAGAACATTTTCCATAAATAAGCCCATGATCAAAAGCAAAGTTAAAATAAATAATTTATATATCATTGCCTGTTAGCTCATGCCCTTGGATAAATACTTTTTTGGAACGCCGGTTTGCTAATCCTAAATGTGGCTAATGTGTTTTTTTGATTCGTCATCTTTTTTGGTCAGATAATAAATTTTATTTAAATTTTTAAATTAAATTTAACCATAAATAAATATTCCACTGTAGAATTTACTTAAGAGGTTCTTTATTTTAAAAGATACCATACTATGTTATACTATGTTATACTATGTTATACTATGTTATACTATGTTATACTATGTTATACTATGTTATACTATGTTATACTATGTTATACTATTTTATACTATGTTATACTATGTTATATTTTACCAATTTTACAATATAACATCGTATATTAAAAAATACACCAATGTCTAAAATATGTTTCCCCTCGCTCTAGCTAATGTGTTCCTAGAGTCCCCAAGTTTTGATGTGCTGAAAGAAGGTGTCATGGAAACTTTGTCGTGCAATAATTCACGGATTGCAGAAATAAAGGGGTACATATTTGAAGTCTTTTGTAGAGGTGACCATGTGGTCGAGGCAGTAACCTTCAAGTGGAAAGGATCTGGGAAGATATGTTCCGTATACATCAACGGAGGTAGGCAATACACGATGATACCAAGTTATTTTCTTTGACACTCCCACATGTTTTAATTTAAATGATTGTGTTGGATTTAGGCTTATTTCAATTGATATGCGTTTTAAGTCCCACACTTAAAAATAAATAAGACTGTGACTATTCGCACCCGGGTATCAGATGTGAGAGATTTGGATTAAATATATATATATATATTTAAAATATTATTGTTGGGTTTGTAACCAAAAAATTAGTATCAAATGAAAGATAATTAAATGGACTATATGTTTGTAAAATTACTCCTTCAGTTTAAGTGAAATAAACTACCCCAATGACATCCGAATGGATTTAATCTAAAGGGACCCGGGTACGCATAGCCGCTGATCGGACCCGGTTTCCTTTAGACTAAGTGCCATTCTTACAAAACCAACAGTTATATTTTAACTATTTTTTTAAATCTCAACCTCTGGCTTTTGATACCGGGAGCCAATAGCCATCTCGAATAAATAAATAAATGCATTAATAAATTATATATATAATTTAAAAAAAAAAAACAATACCAAAAAATGACATTTGAAATTCAGTTTCCTCAATGATATATAGCATAGCATGGCATAATTCTTTCATTGCTAGGCAATACGCTTGGACAAAGCTCAATTATGAAAGTTCCAAGTTTGTGCCCCAATGAATCATTAAATCGTGTCCAGATGTTAATGGATGAAGATACCACTTTCAATCCTGGCAGTGTTTTCAACAGTTCGATAAATTCTCTACGTGTTCTTTTGAAGAGCAATAAATTGATCACTGCATTAAATATCCACACAGGTAGTAAGTCTTTTTTTTGGAATAAATGACAATACAGATAATAAATCTATTACTATAATAACTGCCCACAGAAATAATAGAATTATCAATGATAATAATAATAAAAAAAATATATATACATATTTCATGTATAATATCATCGTTAAAAAATATTAGCTTTAATTATTAATTCTACAAGTATTTCCTTACACAATTGCGAGGCTCATGCTCTAGCAATTTTGTAATAAAGTTATCGATGGCTCAATTTAAAGATATTATAGCCCAATGGTATTTATTAATATTTTTATATTTTATTTTTACAAAAACGATGTTAATTTTAAAACATTTCAATTTTTTTTGTTCTGTAGGTCAAACATCACTCACCAAATATATGTTTAAGGTGAAATGTCTTGGTGCCCACAATGAAACGTTGTGCAGCTATGTTTCAAACGGCATTCATCAAAAAGTGTTTGCTATTGCAATAGTGAAACGGAACGTCACTCAAATAATCTTACAAGTTACTGACGGATCAATGGCGATAAGCGAACTGGAGGTATTTGGAGGTAAAGGCTCTCAGAACTTCATTCGTAATAGATCTGTGTATTTTACCCATGCATTCCTTGGAAAATGGCGACACATTTCTTTTATATCGGTGCAGGATATTTTTGTTTTTCCAATACAAACGAAGTAATAAAATACAACATATTAGCATGTTATTTAATGAGCGTTAAATATGTGGGTACGATTAAACCATATGTTTCACTTAGCTATATTCGAACTGATTAAGAATTATTTTTTTTTTATTTTTTTTTTTTTTAAAATTTAAAAATAATCAATTATACTTTTTTTTTTTTTTTTAAATGTTATTGGTTACCCAATCTCCGTTCATATAAATACCTACTATTTTTTTTGTGTGTGTATCTCCATATACTGTTGACCACACGTGACCGTCTTGCTACGGTTAGTCGGTTGCTATAATTGACCTATCAGTACAGCAGTATGCTGATTAAAATCGTCTTATAAAGAAAATACTTGAATTTTTTTAACTTTTGTATAGATATAATATATTTAAATAACTTTTTTTTTTTTTTTCGTAATTTATATTTCGTTTAATTTTTGGTACCTGCAGAACCCTTGTAACAAACTAATTCTTGGTTGTAAATGTCCAGACTGCCCGCCGCCTTACTACGGATTAAACTGTGAGAAAAAATGTAGCGCCACATGCATGGGTGGAGCCTGCACTCACAACGGAACCTGTCGGATGTGCAGTGGGCAAGACGTTGACCAGCATTGCTCAAGAGGTTAAGTCGTTAGACTACTTTAAGTAACTTACACAGGGGTGCTCACAAACTCACGCTAACACACCCACACATCTAAAGACTTCACCACCACAAAACCACACACCAACCAACAAAACCACACACCAACCCACAAAACCAACACACTTAATTAATAAGCCTGAGATAATTTTTTCCTGAGCTTTGAATGATATGACTTTGTCTTTATTCTGCTTACAAACTTCGATCTTTGAATCTGCAGACTCGATTACAACCTCTAAAAAGCCATCAAGAGGTCAGTGGCTATATTTTATTTACATAGTTACTGATTTAATCCAAGAAAAAATATTAAGGATTTTATAATTCTGTTGCTAGCAGCATCTATTGTTCTCAGAAAAAATATAATAAAAACAACTAGTTTTCAAGTTAAAACTATTGTTGATTTTTTTTTTTAAATAATAATTTTAATTTACCATTCACATCGATTCACATCCATTCATATAAAGT